GGGTGTGCTGTGTGTTGGGGGTGGTGATTGGGAGGTAGGTTTTGATTTTTAAATTTTGCATATTTTCCTTCTCTCTCTCTCTCTCTCTTTTTAAACTGAAAGAGGATGCACAGGAGGCGAAATTGAACATTTTTTTGTTGGCTTTTGTTTACCTGGCGTGTGTGGCAACCGGCTCGCTCCCTCTCTCTGCTTGCTATCCCTGACCTTTCTTTCTTTTTGCTCCTTTTCAAAAAAAATATTAATTTCCCCCTTCTGTGCAATGGAGCGTGGAGGGGGGAGGAGGGGGAAGGGTTTGAGAATCCACCCAAGCCCGGCCCCTATTCCCCAGAACACCAATAATAACCCCCTTTAAAACATTTACCTTCCTCCCCTGCTCCTCCCCCTCCCCCCTCCCCCCACCCGCCCCCAACTCACAACTCTGTTGAGTCCAGAAGCTCAGAATCGGGCGTTGGGCTTTGCCGGGTGCTTCAGATCAATGGTAATTATTTAATTTTTTCCAGTTTTATTTTTGTAAACAGAAATCAATTATTATTTAAACTTCAAACAAGCAAACAAGCAAAAAAAAAAAAAAAACCAAAACCGAAAACAAAAACAAAAAGCGGGAGCCCAGCCCTCTGTCACCTGACTGAGTGGGAAAGAGGGTGAAGGGGTCAGTGGGGAAGGGGCTGCAGGACGCCCCACGTAGCTTTTAACCCTAATGTGGCCGAGGCAACCACCTTATTTGTGCTAACATGAAGTGTTTTGTTCCTTATTACTGTGATTAACATTAGTATCGGTGTCGGTAACAAAGCTGAAATCACATATTTAGGGTTTAGATCTGATTTAAAAAAAATGCTGGGGTGGATGTTCCAATTGGAGCAGGAGAAAAGAGAATGAAAACAGCTTGGGGAGGGGAATGCCAAATCCGGTTCCTCGCTGGCTCCTGGATGTCATGTTCTCTTTTTGGGGGTGGCCAAAACCCGACCGGTGTCGGGACTCGAGGCGGCCCCCGCACGCCTAGCCCGGGCGTCCACGGGAGTCGGTGCAGACCGGACCCTGCACCGGGGCGAGCTGACAGGAGTTTGCGGCAGCGATAGAACATGGAGATGTCATGGGCGCGACAGAGCCTGGCGGGGATACCAGCAGCGTGTGTGTGTGGACGGCAACGTTGTCTGTGCGCGCGTGTGTGTGAGTGAGTGAGGGAGAGAGAGAGAGAGAGAATAGGTGTGTGCTCAGGCGCTGGGTGCCTCTGTCTGGCTGCTGAGGCTGACATGGGAGCAAGCGGCTGGCGAGGCTGGTGGTGGCTCCAGACCACACTTCTGTAGAACAATCACGAGAGAAAATTGTCGTGGGAGGGGGGGAGGAGGAGGAGGCGGCGGTTTTTCTTGTGCCCCCCTTCTAACGCTTCTTTTCTCCTTTTCTCTTTCCCCCTCACCCCGGCTTCCCCTCCTCCCGTCCTCCCTCGCCCCGCATGCTCCCGGCTTGCCGCCTGCAGGATGAGTTCCACCCGTTCATCGAGGCGCTGCTGCCTCACGTCCGCGCCTTCTCCTACACCTGGTTCAACCTGCAGGCGCGGAAGCGCAAGTACTTCAAGAAGCACGAGAAGCGGATGTCGAAGGACGAGGAGCGGGCGGTGAAGGACGAGCTGCTGGGCGAGAAGCCCGAGATCAAGCAGAAGTGGGCATCCCGGCTGCTGGCCAAGCTGCGCAAAGACATCCGGCCTGAGTTCCGAGAGGACTTTGTGCTGACCATCACGGGCAAGAAGCCCCCCTGCTGCGTGCTCTCCAACCCCGACCAGAAGGGCAAGATCCGGCGGATTGACTGCCTGCGCCAGGCTGACAAGGTGTGGCGGCTGGACCTGGTCATGGTGATTTTGTTTAAGGGGATCCCCCTGGAAAGTACTGATGGGGAGCGGCTCTACAAGTCGCCCCAGTGCTCGAACCCCGGCCTCTGCGTCCAGCCACATCACATTGGAGTCACAATCAAAGAACTGGATCTTTATCTGGCTTACTTTGTCCACACTCCAGGTAGGTCACTCTCCACCCCCCACCCCCCATTTTATTTTACTTGCCGCCATTTGTTTTGTGTGTATCGCTCCTCTTCTTTTCCAAAGGATCCATGCAATGGGCCTAACTAGCACGCCTGTCCTGCGGGGCCGGGG